TAGCAAGCTTCCATTATTGCCTGAGAGCCTGCATTTTAAGGACACTCACTGAAGACCTTGCTTTGAATCTCAGATAGGTTTTCTGAGGATTTATTTTATATGATTTCATATCTATGTCAAATTTCAATTAAACATTTGTTTGAAGACTTAAACACCTCTCTTAGGATTCTCACCATCACTTTTAATTTTCCAGGGTGGGTGTGGGCCAGTTACTATTATTCCATCGTGATCTAATAACTTGTCCTAATCACACACTGAGTGCCACTATAATAGGATATTGGATTCTTGCTGGGGTATGAGTGAGGAGGCTCTCTTTTGCTCTTTCTCCCAAGCTGCTGCCTCTCACTCCTGTAACCATTTGAGTGTGGTGAGAGTGGTGTCTGATTTATCAGGTACATTCCTTGGAAAAGTATACTTTGCATTTCAGAATTGCTGGAATAAGGTGATCTAGAGAGGTGGAGAGGGTTGGGCCCTCTGAAATTCCGCAGTTAAGGGTTGAATTAGGCTGTTCCAGATAGATTTTATAGTGATCTGACAGGTGATGAGAGTAAATTGTACAGAGGAAATGACACCTAGGATTCTCCAGAGGCCATCAGTTGCTGCTCAGAGCCATGACCCCAGGCTTTCCATCTGCATCACTCAGAGTCATTTATACCCTCCTGGATGTTTCCTCCACCTCTTCTTTCAGACATGGAGGAGATACCCTCCAGTTTTTCTCTCCACTTGAAGGCGTATGCTTCTTGGTTTCCTTAAGACTGGTGCTAAGCAGCAAAGTTAAGAGGGTGATGCCTCCTGACCCTGACCCCTTGCCTACTTAGTTTTATTTTTTCCTAAACTTCTTAGAAAATATTCTTCTTTTAAAAATGCTTAAAATTATTTTTGTGTATACAAATGCAAATTACACACACACACACACACACACACACTCTTTTGACAAAAATTTTGTACATTACAAATATAAGGAAAACCCCCTGGAATCTGTGCCTGGCCTCTATCCACTACTCAAGAGAGATAATACATATCCCTGCTCTCTCACTCACACACACACCTGTAGAAATGTATAGTATTATGTTTCTGTCTGTTTCCAGCGTAAAGTTTACCATACTACACAAATGCTGTGGCTTTTTCATCAGGTCTTTCTCTGCCAGGACAGAGAGCTACCTCATTCTTTTCTTTGCTACACAGCATTCTGTAATGTGGGTGTACCTGATTTTATTATTCATTTGCCTGTTGATGGACAGCTAGTGTGTTTTCCCCTCTTCTTACTCTTGGCACTGCTGTACAGTGAACCTGCTTGTGCTTGTGATTAGTGCTCATTTTAGGGAGATAAGTGAGACAATAGGGTATGTGTCTTTAATAGTTAATATATATTACTTTATTGGCTTCTAGTGACTGTGGCATTTTAGAGAGATTTTTGGGTTGTTTTTAAAGAAGTTTGGGGTTCTGGCAAGCCTTGTCCCTTAATTTTATTTCACTCAGTGAAGTAGCTCTTACAGCACATCAGATCCCAGATCAGTGCCCTCTCTCTTTTTTAAAAATAATCTGGAGTGTCTCTCTACTTAGAGTTACTGCAAAGCTTCTTTCAATCCTTGGTCCCAAAGTAACTTCGACTTTCTCCCGGAGTTGGTCTGCCAGTGAAGCATGATGGTGAGAGATTTAGTCCTGGTTCTGCCAGCCTTTGCCTGGGGCAAGTAATTTCCTCCTAGGCTTAGGTCAGGATTGAATGAGTTGTTATATGTAAAGCATATAGTAAGCATATGGTACATAGTAAGAACTCAGTAATTGTTGGCTGTTGTCATTCCCCCATAGAGCTGCCACCCTTCATTCAGCAGACACTTGTCCTGTTATGTGCTGGGAATAAAGATAAATAAGACCTGGTCCCTATCCTTGAGCTTACATCCTAACATACATGTATTTGCTCAAAATGAAAGTACTTGCTCCTTCATCTTTCCATCTATTTGAGCCTTATCCACAGCCCAGTCTGCTTTCCTCCCATGTCACCTAACTTCTGTATGATGAGGGACAGCCTCTCACATCCTCACCAATTATGTTTAATCTCGATTCAGCACCTACCACATGCCCAAACCATTGTAAAAACTGGAATGTAAGGAGTATGTAAGAGAAGCTAACAGGCTCTAGAGAGGAAAAATAAAGCTCCAAGTTTTTGAAAGACTATTTGGCTTCTATTACAGCTTTTCACCTGTGGACTGGCTCAATTTTACCTTGCATTGCATGTGTCAATAAGGATAGATAATCTCCATTCTCTCCAAGGGGACAGAGTGTGAGGTGTCGGCAGCAAGAGGACACTTATTTCTCTTGTTGAAATCTGGAAATAGCATCACCTCCCACCGCCCCCATGGACTGCTCTTGTAAAGTAGGAGCTATTTTCTTTCCCAGGATTGAAGAAAAACCAGAGGAGCTTAGAAAGCTCTGGCCATCCAGGCACAGGTGGAACCACTTTGTTAAAGTACCTTTTGCTGCCACGTACTGCAAAGATCCAGCAGACTGCAGGGAGCATTGGGCTGTACCCTGCTTCCCAGGGAGTTCTCCCCTCAGCCCCGAGAGCTTCTTTGGAAACAGCACACCTTGGGAATTCTTGACCCAGCATCGGACAAGTTAGCAATCCTCTATCGCCCTCACACACATTCTTCTTCAAAAAGTAATACATTCTCTTTGAGAACTCAGGGGTACCTCCTTGCTTTTGTTACCATTACAGGTTTTATTTTGTTTGTTCATAGTAAGCATATTAAGGTTGATCTTATTTTAAAAGGACTGTCCTGAGACAGAATTTAAATTTATGTCTTGCTGAATTGTGAATGGACATAGAGGCTCCTTTTAAGGAGCTTTAAGGATTTGTTGCCACAACAGGATCTGAGCATAATACTGAGCTTGGGAAAGATGAGTTTCTCAACAGAAATAATTTATTGTTGCTAAAGGTAACGTGAAATTATTAATTTTTTCTTGAAGTATGTTTTTTGTAAATGAGTTCCAGAGCTAAATGACTTGAAATTATGATGCTCTCCTTTATTAAGACTTTATTTCACTTCGTGTATTCTGTTGACCCTGAGAGAATATCCAAACTAGAGAGGAGAAAACTTAAAGTAGTGTTAAACACCCTACAAATGGTTCCAATAGATTAGAGTTTACTGCTATTCTCCCTAATGCTCTGTGACTACTCTCATCCCTAATGCTACATTTTGTGTTCTGAGGCATCTTTAGTTCATCTGTAGAAGCTTGTCTTAAAATTCCATATACATTTCATTTGGTTTTAGAAAAATATTCTGGCTATCGTAAGCATACTGAAAGGAAAGTTTGCATTTAAAGCAACATTTCCTCGTTCAAAGAAGATACTGTTGTTCTATTATCAGTGTATGTGATTTTTTTTAACTTCCTAATAGTAGTGGAAATATTTGGATCAGCTATCTTGGCAGGTTCTTCTGGTAATTCTCTGAAGGAAATATATGTGTGTATTTAGCAGGCAGAGGTTAGTGGTTCTGACTATGGCCATAAAGTAGGGAAAAAAAGGTACTCCCTTCCCCCACCCATGGGGATCATTCTCATCATAGCTTTATTAACAAGTAAGGAACTGAAGTCAGCTCTGATAGAGGTTGCTGAATTGGAAGAGCAGCATATACCAGAAAAGAACTTCCATGAGCATTCTGAAAATTCTGTTATGGTGGCTTTGGCCTATGTAGTATTGTCACCATTTTGTTACTTTTACAATTTCCAGTGTCCTTTTCACGTACACTTGTAGTGCCTAGACCAGCTGCATTTACATTCTTTTCCACAAATTCCACAGATTCAAACTTCCTTTCTTTAACTATTTGCTTTCACCTTCTAAGCTCTGGGGATTCTTCTTGGCTCCTACAAAAAGTCTTCCCTACTCTCTATTCTTCCCCTCCCCATTTTTTCTTTATACAGCCCTGTTTATCTAAAGCGTATTCTGGTTATCAGCACAGAGTGACAGATTGTGTGAAGAGTAGGGAGAGGTGGGTAATAAATAACAACTGCAGGTAAGTCCCCGAGGTTCTTGGACCCTCAAAAATCTTCAGCTGTATGAAATAGGATAGGGCCAGTCTTTCTTCTTTTGACAGCTTTCCTAACTGCTCTCTTTCTCAAAAGATCCTATAGTATCTCTTACACACACTCGATCTGTATTGAGTGTTGGGTTTCTTCGTAACTCCTCTCTCAGTCTCTGAAATAGACCCAAGGCTTCACTGAGGACCTGAAGATATAGTTAGGGTAGCATGACAGACAGAAATTAGTAAACACTTTAGGGTTATCCAAAAAAAAAATGTTTGATACGTCTGGGACTTTTTCAAGCTGTCCTGTGCTTTATATAGCAAAGGGCAAAATGAATCACTCCACAATAAGCGATCCTAAGAGATACCAAACTCAATTAAAATTGATTTAACTTCCGGGGAACTCTCCAGATTATACTCCGAAATACTAATATGGTAATACCAGTTTCAGCCATAAACATCTCATTGGATCTCCTGTCTTTTTCCTAGATGTAGATCATGGGCAATAATACACTGTCTCTTGAACCAACAGACTATAAATTTCACTGCTCTAATTTCCAGCGTGGAAGGAGAAAATGGTGAAAAAGTAGGCTTGAATGGCTCTGCTGGAAATGGCAGTGTATACCAGAGATGGACTGGCCTGTAGTGGGGCTGACCTTTTCTCATTTAATGTCCTCTTCCCCCTCTAGAACTCATTGGAGAATCATTTGCATGTTATACTTCATCTACTATCTCACCCCTAGCTCTTCATCCTTCTGTCAAGTTATATGTGCTCCTGAATAAAGGTTATCTACTATCTTCTACTTAAAAAAAAGAAAAGGTGAATTGTGACATCATTTAGCGTATGAGAGATGGTAAAGATAGAAAGTAGAAAACAGGAAAATATATGTAACTTTGGAAGGAGTTATGTATAGTATATTTTAGAAAAGTGGGGCAATTAATTTCTTTCTACTAATATATGTATTCTTTTAAATTTAGGAATAGAAGGACAGTCTGTGGAAGTTTCCAATATTGTGGACATCCGAAGAGTATATAACCGTGAGATTGCAATGAGAATTTCCTCTAGCATAGACAGCCAAAATAGATTTTATACTGACCTAAATGGATACCAGGTAATTTTCCTTTAAAATGTCTGAGTAATGGTTATATTAGTGTGTAACTTTTATGTATGGTAATGGGCCAGTTAATTTTGGATCCTTTGAAAAATATGCTTATGGTGGCAAATTATTTCTAAAATAAAACTGAATTTTAACAGACATTTATAGGTTCTGCATTCGTAAGATTTTCCAAAGTTAGAACAAATATTTGAGGTACTGTTTTGTAAAACATCTATTTGTAAGGATTTATTTTTTCAAAGGAAGCTTTGGTGACCATTAGGCCTGTTAAATGCCTTAATGTAAAAATATATGTGAATTTGTCTAATAGAAAGGAAACATAGTTAGGAATTGACGGATTATATCTTTTTTTCCTCATAAGGAATTGTTCTATGCGTGTATAGTTTATTCTATGTATATTTCTAAATGTATGATCTAATAGTGGGTTCTTTTAAATTTCAAGAAAACTCCTCCCCTCTCTTTATCAATATGTGTGTATGTTTGTGTACTTATATGCATACACATGTGTACATAGACATACAAATATAGACATATCTATTTAGAAATATGGATAGGTATATATTTAATAAAAATTTTCACAAAATAGTTTGAAATAGTAATGAGAAAATTGATTCATAAAAATTTTTCAGATTGTCACTTCTCTAGTTTAATGAGTGGTTTTGGTTGTTGCCTAAATCTCTGCATTCGAAGTGTTTGTGTGTGACAACACACCTTTGAAATAATACTATTAAAAGCATTAGCATGATTTTGAGACATTTGCATTTTTGAAATTTCTGGCTATGAATAGAAATAATTTCACAACAAATGCTTTAACTTTGTCTGATTTTCAACTGGGATGAGTGGAAAGGATTGTGATAATTTTGTCTTCTACGATTTCCTGCAAAAGTTAAATTTAAACGTTTCCCAAAAGCATAAAAATTGCACCAGACATTTTGAATTAACATGTTAATTCTACTACAGCTGTTTGGTTTTCAAATGAAGCCCCGACTTTATGGTGATTCATTTTCCTGTGTACAAAAGAAAAGCTTTTCTTAAAATCTTACAGAAGCAATTACTTATATGTGTGAGTGTAGGCATGAATGAGAAATACTTAGTAAGAATGAATAAAAATGTGAATTTCAAGGATTGAGTATTTGAATAAATAAGAAAATATTCTTAAGTCTAAACTCTAAATATTTCTGCTTTTGAAGTAGGCCAGTTCTTAAGCCTTGGAAAAAGTAATACTTGATAGAAATCTAAGCCCACAGGTGGGGAGTGAGGTAACAGCAACACAGTTGTGATGGTTTTAAGTGTCCTTTTTATAAGTATGTCAGTTAATTGGAGTGAGAGAGTCAGGATTGGAAAGGAGAAATGGAGAAGTCTTTCAAACTAACTTTTCTTTCTTCTTTTTTGAACATTTTACAGTTATTTCTTCACCAGTTTATTAATATTCTAAGGCTGTGATACAAATTACCACAAACTGAGTGGCTTAACACAACAGAAGTTTATTGTCTCACAGTGCAGGACACTAGAAGTCTGAAATCAAGGTGGCATAAGGGCCACACTCCCTCCAAAGGCTCCCGGAAAATTGCCTCTTCCATCTTCTGGTGGTTCCAGGCAACCCTTGGCACTCCTTGGCCTTGTAGGCATATCACCCTGATCTCTGCCTTTCCTGTCACATGTTCTCCTTGTGTCTCTATCTGTGTCTCTCTGTATCCAAATTTCCTTCTTCTTACAAGGACACCAGTTATTGGATTAAAGCCCACCCTAATCCAAAATAACTTAATTATATCTGCAGAGACCCTATTTCAAAATAAAATCACTTTCACCGGTTCTGAGTGAATGTGAATTTGGGAAAGACACTAGTCAATACAACCATTAAGTTGAAGGACATAACTGCAGGATTGTTGTAAAGGTTGAAGATCTTGTTTGTGAAATACCCACTACATACCTGGTGTTAATGGGCACTCAGTATATGTCGACTATTATGTTAACTTTGTATTTCTCCTTTTCTTGAATTACGTGTCAAATTTGCATGAGTTTAAAAGAAGAGATGGCATTTTTATGTGATATAAGAAAGATTCCTGATAACAGGGTCTCTGTTTGATGTCTCCTCTTGAGGTTTGAGTGAGTCTCCTTGACCCAGACTAGCTTAGTGCGTTGTCAGTCTCTCTCAAAAAATAAAGTTAGAGTTGTATTTCATGCGTTCAGATGCTAGACCAAGAAAAACAGGAATTTGAAACTATCTACGTTGAAAGTAAACAAGAGTAAACATGGAATAGTTTTTAAATATGAATATACATTTGATTATTATAATGTAATATATTAGAGGATTTGATGGAGAGATCTGTGGTATTTATTAAAACTGATTCAAGCATGATAAGAGATATTTCTTGAAAGGGGATAGAGAGCTATTATGCTTAGCATTCATTACACAAGCAGGATGTTAGATTTAGATGAAAAATGAATACCTAATACCTTTATAATTTGTTTTATGCAAATATTGGAGAGCCAGAAGACTTTTGGTAAGGATTTTTATTTTGAATTTAAATAGGAATGCCTCTTTTAAAAATCTGGACAAGTTCTACCTTTCTCACTTACAAACTGTTTTCTAGGATTCTCATGATTTTTCGTCATAGTGTTTTGAAGAATGTTTTAATTTTTAAATTAGTTCTTCCCTTGGACAAGAAAGCAAGCTGTACCTGTTACTCGTTGGAAGAAAAGTCATCTATAGTCAATACTAATTTTTTTAAGTACATGTGTAAATATCACTTGATTTTTTTTTAAAGAGAATTGTTTGGTCTTATAGATTCAACCTAGAAGGACCATGAGCAAATTGCCTCTTCAAGCAAATGTCTATCCAATGACTACAATGGCATATATCCAGGATGCCAAGTATCGCTTGACACTGCTCTCTGCTCAGTCTTTAGGTGTTTCAAGTTTGGAAAGTGGTATGTATTGTTTAGACTCTTTTTTCCTCTTTTAAGTTTCAGTTCCGAGTGTGTAATTTTTCTGTTGGTCGTATGTATTAATTGTCATCTCCAGTCACTAGCTTTCTTCTTTTGAGACCCAAACTGTTGGTAATTTTGAGTTTTGTGAGAGTAACATAAAATGATGAATTTCCTCTGTCCTCACATGAAGAACGGGGACCCTAGAAACTGATTGTTTTTAAAGATAATTTACTTCTTCTGATAGCGCATTGTTTGCAGAAGTCTCTGTCATTGTCATGATTGAATGGCTATGGAAACTCAGACTCTGAAAGATTAGGTACCTTGCCTAAGTTTGAAAGGTGGGAGGTTACAGTTCAAACTTAGGTCCTTCTCTGAATCACGACCTTCTAGGACACTACTACTCAAAAGAAGAAAGGGAGTAGAGATGATACAGGTGTGTGATAAAGAGGTGACAGACACGACTTTAAAGATTCCAAAAGAGAGAACAAGATAGAGAGGAAGAGAAAATAGATAGTAGATGCTGATTAAATTTTGTAAAACCTTCTGTTGGGCGGCTTTTCTCCTCTATAATACATATTTTTAATTATCATTTACATGTCATCAATTGCTCTTCTTTCCTTACATACTAAGAGTATCTAATAAGACAAATGTCTTAAGGAGCCAGGCAGATAAGTGCAGATGCCTGGTGTATCCTTCATCACACACCCTCGTTTTGTATTAGGCGTATAAATACATTCTGTACCTCTGCACACAAAAAACCATACTACTTGTCATTTTTCTTTGTGGCTTTCATTAGACAGAATTATGAGGTCATGCCATAAAGACATGAATACAGTTATATAAATACTAACGGCCTCATGTCAGGGATCCAGTAGGGAGTGGTGGGACTTGAGCAGACTGGAGAGCAGGTTCCCCATGTACAGTGGGGCAGCCACTACTTAGTGCCAGTTCATTGTTGCCATGGGGAAAGGGGCCCAGTGTTGCCAAATTTTTCTGTTTTTGAACAGAGCCCAGAAGTCTGGAATTTTATGGAAATTTTCTAATTTGTAAATGTTGACATAACTTTAAAAAGCTCAAAACATAAAACATCTTTGTGCCAGGGGTGACTCTTGAGCCACCCATTTTTAAGCCCTGCCTTGAATTCTCAAAGTTGGCCTCTAAATCGGGGACCAGACAGTAGGACTCTAGCAGTCATGACCTATCTAGGATTATCTTACTTCCCTGCTAAAGATGAGGTGAGAAATAAAGCTCTCTTGGCCCCACTACAGACACCCAAATGCCCTAGTGTTTGGATAGCTACAAACATAAAAACAATTTTGATGTTTTGTCCCATTTTAAAATTTTTAATCAGATTTTACTACACATTAATGAAGAAAGGAGAAATACAGTCTTGTTTTATGAATTTGTACTAGCTGCTTTGAGCTATTATGGAGAGAAAGGCCATGATACAGTGGGTTGTATAGCTCTCTCTCCCTGACTGGAGGAGAAACTTCAGTCAAGACCATGCCTTGTACTTACATGATCCTCAGTGAATGTTTGTATTAAATAACTCTGGCCAGTTGTTTTGTTTGTTTGTTAGGTCAGATCGAAGTTATCATGGATCGAAGACTCATGCAAGATGATAATCGAGGGCTTGATCAAGGTGTCCATGATAACAAGATTACAGCTAATTTATTTCGAATACTACTAGAAAAAAGAACTGTTGTGAATATGGTAGGAAAAAAAATAACTTGCATGTTCTGATGTTGATTGTTCTTTGCCACCTAAATTTGAAATTATGACTTTTCACCTTTTAATTTTTTTGCAATTTCCAGTATTGAGATATCTTTATAATAGATTTAGCCTATATTCACTAGAAAGAGAAGTTCTGTTATATATATAGTGCAAGATTTGCATTTGAGTCATTTTAGTTTTGCTTATTATGTAGGTATAAAATAATGCTAAAGAATCAGTTTGGGCAAAATTTCGTAAAACTATTTTGGAAGAAATAAGAGTTCGGTTAAAGAGTAGAGCTTAGCACGTACTTAGGAGATTAAGTTTGATTAGTAAAATTTATTTGAAACTATAGTGTACTTTTTCTAGTGTTGGACCCATCAATTGACAATGGATTTACTTGTCTATCTTCTTGTTCAATTTTCATTCCTCAAAGCAAAAATCCAGCATTCCATGTTAAACAGTGTGGCAAAGGCTCCATCGGACGTGAACCAACTTGACAATTATGCTTCATCTGATGGCAAAAACGTTATCCTCAGAGTCCTCCATAAATTACTGATCACTCACGGCAGATGGCCCTTGACATGGCCCTTTTTCTCTTACTCCGCTCTGCCTCTTTCTGCACTGACCATTTCAAATCGTTTTTTTTCAACCGGTGACTTCACCATCCACTTTATGGAGGGAACAGCCCTTCGACGGGGCTGTCTGTTCTAGATACCAGCATCTACTCCTATCCCTTCCGTCTTCCCTCACGTCACAGCAGAGGTGTTTACCTTCCTGTTGTCTGAGGCCAGTCCCTCCACTTGTCTTTGAAACTTACCCCAGTCACCTCCTCAGGTTCCAGTTACTAGTCGTCCTCCCTTTTTCCCCCTCCCTGTCTTCATAGTCAACATTTCCCTAGGAAATTCTTTCTATTGGCTTTTAAACACTCTTCATTTTTTTTCCATTAAAAATAAAGACAGGAAACAGCTTTCTCTCAGACTCCCATTTGGTTTCCCCTACGCTACTCCTGTCTCCCCTACCCTCTTGAGCCAGGGCTTATGAGATGAGTTTATTTCATCGCTTTCCTCTCACACTCAGTTCCTTCAGTCTGACTTTAGCCTCCATCATACACTCTTACCAAAGTCACTAGATCCAGTGTATGTTCTAGATCATCATCTTACTTCATCTCTCAGCAGCATTCAGCACTGACCGTTGACACTTTTTACAACACTGCCTAGCCAGGGCTTCTGTGGCGCCATACTTCCTTGGTTTTCCTCTTACGTCCAGGGGAGTTCTTTCTCTCCCTCTCTTATAGTTCTTTATTTAGTCATTAAATATCAGAGCCCTCAAGGCTTGGCCACAGGCCGTCTCCTTTTCTCACTATATATGTTCCCTCTGTAATCTTTCCTACTCCCATGGCTTCAGTGACTGCCTCTGTGCAGATGGAACCCACAAATTCATATCCCCAGCTTTGGCTTCACCATACCCATCTATCTAGTTGCTTCCTGATGTTTCTTTCTGCGTTTTTAAGAGCATCTCAAGCTGGACATATCCAAAATCACTCTCGTGATCTCCCTTCCTCCCAAACCTGGCCCTTTTCCAGTGTTATCTCTCTTGGTGACTAGCACCACCTTCCAACTGGTGCCAGACACCTTGGAGTCATCTCCGATAGGCGCTTTTCCCTCACCGGTCCTTTCTCACAACAGTGATCACCAGTGCTTGGCTATCTCATTGCCTAAATATTTCAAATCTATAAACGTGTTTACTTTGACCATCCCAGTCTAAACTAACATCATATGTTTCCTGAATCTAGCCTATACACATCTACTTTTCTCTCCTCTTTCTACCGTATCTGTTCTTAACCCAGTAAGCAGAGTGTTTTTCAAACCAAATCTAACCTCATTGTCCCCTGTTACTCTGATGTATTCTCATTGCTCTCAACATAAAAGCCAAAATCCTCACCATGGCCTATAGAGCCCCTCATGATGTGGGCCCTACCTGTCCCCCATCCTCATCTAGCGTGACTCTCACTATTTCTGTTCTGGGCCCATTGGGTTTCTTTTGGTCCTAAGTATTTCCCATGCACCCTACCCCCCAGCACCTTTGTGCATGCTGTTTCATCCTGTTTGCCTAGGTGACTCTTGGTAATAGTTCAGATCAGAGCTCACATCATCAACTGCTTCTGCTTCACCAGATCAAACCCCTTTCTTCTATGTACCCTCAGAACCATGCATCTCTCTTTCATGCATGTGTGTGATTATTTGATCATTGTCTTTCTCTTCCTTTGGACCATAAACTCCTTGAGAGTAGAGACTATGTCTCTCTCTACTTCTAGGATTGTTTCTAGCAGAGGAAGCACTCTGTATATGTTGTATAAATGACTACACAAATGCATAAGTGAATGAGCTGTGATAGCAGATAGCGCCACTGTGTTTACCGTAATAATTGCTTACCACCTTGTCATCATATGAGTGTTCTCTTTCCCCTACTACATTCTAGGGACTTGTCTACTTCATTTTCATGTGCCCCACAGGGCCTCCTTGCCTGTGGTAGGCATTCTATAAATAAAATACTAGTTGATTGAATGAAATGGCAACATCTAATTAAAGGGAGGAATTCTTCCAGTATCTAGAATCTTGTAGGAAAAAGATTTTTATATCCATTTTGGACGTCAAGATATATACTAGTTCTTGGGACTCATGGTTTAAATCAATTGCTGACAAGATGGCTTAGTTTTAGGACTAAAACTGCATAGGAAAATTATTGTCTGAGTGTTGGCAGCTACTGTCTTTTGCTCCTCCTGAAAATGTTTTTGCCTTTTATGATTTTTCTCTATATATAGACACTAATTTACAAAACTTCTTTTAACTATGGCAATAAGAATTTTCATGTCAGATCTATAAAGCTTTCACTTAGAAGTTAAATAATTTGTGTATTCCCATTCAAAACTCCTTGGATAGAAATTGATTTAAATTTGATCCAATGTTTTTATAATCCTATGTTGGTTAAATTTTTCTTTTTCTCAACTGTAGATTCTTGGACTTAAATCAATAGTTTCTTTTAAATAAAAAATGAACTAGAGAAGAGAAAATACATTTTAATTTTTAGTGAGATTTATTATAAAGACATTTGATTAAATGTTACACATCATGTAACTTTTTAGATGTAAAATTTTTATCATGTAAAACTTTTTATCATATAAAATTTTCTAGAAAGCGTTTTTATTTTCAACTTAGACTCTAATGTCTAAATTATTGATAGTAGAAACTGAGGTGGGAAGATGTTCCCTGGATAGGAAGCATTTTAGTGGGAAGCCTTGAGCCTACCAGAGCCTCATGGGAGTAATCCTGGCTGACTAAATGGAAGTGAATCCTGTTCTCGAGTGTTCTGCAGAGAGGCAGTGAAAACAAGGACATGGGTGGTAATCACTGGGAGGTGTGAGGTATGGTCAGTTTGGGGGAAGCACTGAGGGTTGGGAGAACCAATTTTGGTTTGAGGAATGGTAAATATGCACACTACTGCTTCCAAGGTACAGATAATCTGTCAGGAAGTATCCCACCTGCTCACTAAAGTGTCCAGGGGTTCCTCAAAGGGCATAGAACAAAGCCAGAGGGCTTTTTCTGAATGTTTCTGGACCTGGAATGGACTTAATGCCTCCCGAATCTGATAAGGCAGGTGTTTTTCTTTCTGTTAGAATCTATCTTTTGTTAGTCAGAAGTGATTTTGTCAGCAATCCTGACCTAGATTATGAAGGCCTTTGATCTTGGAGTACATTTAAAGTGTCTTCTTGAAAATGTTCCTTCTCTATTCATGTTATTCTACAAGCTGCATTAAATTTCAATATTGTTGGAGAATATTATTTTATATGCTTTATTTAATCTTTCCTTAAGAAAAGAATGAGAAATAGATGGATTTTTTTTTACAACTCTTTCAGACCTAATATTTTTTGTCAGTATCTTAATATTACAGTGTCCCTATACTGCCTTTAAGTTTTTTTTCCTCTTGCCATGATCTGAATTGTAATGACATCTACAGTTTGCTGCTGGCAAGATGCTCATCACTCTTTGCTAACACCCTCTGTTCAATGCTAATCTGACATTCTGAATTTTAAGCTCTGTACCTTCTATAAATTCTGTCTTTTCACACAGATAAGTAGCCAAGCCTTTTATTTGAGCTCTATATTACAAAAAGGATGCAAAATCAGAAGATATCAGTGAAAGTCATTTTAAAAAATAAGATACGAAATTAAATTTGCTCCAAATCTCACTGGTGATCAAAAGACCTTTCTACATAAATTATTTTCTCTCCTTAATGCTTTTCTGTGTTTGCTTTTACACCTTAGGCATTGCTGGTTAAGGTTCTACTTAGTCATTGATTTAATTAATTGTGTATGTCATCCGCCATATGTGTATCCCCAGCCCTAGTAGACTTATTTAATGTTTGAACATGCTGAAATGCCTGTCTGTAAGTATATACCATGGCAAAGACTAAAGTATTTTTAAATTATGCTGAATAATTGCGTGCCGTGTAAATGTGTGGTAACTATTCTGTAACATATGTAACAGGTCCTGTTTTTGGAATAAAATAGAGGGAAGCAACTGACAATCACTTACCAAATTTAGAGAAAACACTCAGATGATCTAAATATACCACCTGTGTTATTTAAAAATGTTACTTATTTTGAGAGTTTTTACAAAAATCCTATCATTGGGTAACATTTATAGAACATAGCTTTGGATCAATACATGATTTTATGGTCTGGTTAAGTATATAAATGAAGCCATGAGAATATGATGGGTAAAACCTGAGAGACAAGAGATAACATTTGATGTGCAAGATATATGAACATCCCAACCCATCTACACTAAGGGTTTTGTGGTAGATTGAGAAAGAGTCTCCATAAAATGTTATACCTTGTCCTAAAATGTTTGGGGAAAATGTCAGGACTTTTAGTATTAAAGCACTAGAAAAGAGATATTTCAAAATATATAAGTGAAGTGGACACTTTATTTTTTTGCATTGCTTAGAACTAAACTTGATAATCTGTGCATTTTCTAAGATTGTTATTTATAAAATATAACATCAAAGTATTTACATATTTTTATATTTTCTATTTAAACCCTGTCAGATAATTCAGTTAATATTATGAGAACTGCAAATGTGTAACTCAAAGCGTGTTTGTTTTTTCTTGATAGGAAGAAGAAAAGAAGTCAGTCAGTTATCCTTCCCTCCTTAGCCACATAACTTCATCTTTCCTGAATCATCCTGTCTTTTCAATGACAGAAAAGATCCCTGTGCCCACTCTTCAGCTGCTTGGTGAATTCTCTCCGTTACTGTCGTCTTTGCCTTGTGACATTCATCTGGTTAATCTTAGGACTATAGAGTCACAGGTATATCCCAAATATATCTGTAAAAAATTACTTTTTGTAATGTATTTGGTATGAGGAGGTGGGAAGAAAAACATACTGTTAGTTTTACTGTTATTCGAGGAACGATTAAGAGGACTTCACCTTTAGGCAAAATCATTGTACTTCTCCTTTGACTATCGCTCTATCATTTAGAACATATCCCTGCACTAACTTGTTTTATTCTCACAAAAGTTCTGTGTGGTAAGCTGGTCGGGAATATCATCTTCTTTTTACAGATAAAGAAGCCAAAGTGGCGTGAGGTCACATAATTAGTAGGTGAGAGAACCAGGCCTTCCTTAAGATCAGCTCTACTGGCATTTTCCACTCATTTCTCATTGTTAGCCAGCGTTTCTCAGGAGATAAATAGAAAGCGTAGTGTTTAGTTATTTCTGTATCAGAGGCTTTGTACATTTGTTTGTATCTTTCTCCTAAAAATCACCGCAGCTCAAACCTTTGCATTGAGAAATATGCAGGAGAAATAGAAAGACATATTAGAAGAAAAGTAGGCCATGCTTTATTAGGTATGGAATTTTAATTCAGTTAGACTGCCTTAGTTTACATATATGCCTACATTTAAAGTTAGAGATTACATTTGAAAAGAATAAATATTGGGTATTTGACATCATTTTTATGTTTAGTAGAGCTGTTTTGATATTGTGAATTGACATACTCTTGGCTGGAAATAGTAAGTGGTTATGGATTCTGTGGGAAATATCTTACAATAAAAGGCCTGAGTATGAAAAGAGGAAAATGTTCATGTTTGAAGACAATATAAGAGGAGAAAAATGTTTAGTTTAGGAACAAAGAACTAAAGCAAACCAAATAAAATATGGATAAATGCCTACAAATTTGGGCTTTTAGGACTTTTAAAACTATGTCCCAGATAGGGAACTTATGCCTATGTAGGAAAATACATATGGCTCATAATAATGAATACAAGTGAATGCCAGAGGCCTGTGTCTATACCTCTGTGTGTCAAAGACAAGCCTTGTTTGATCATGTGGGTGAACTTGCAGGGTTTATTTCATGTCTGCTATGTGCCAGTTACTGCTAAAGGCACTAAGGATACAGTCGTGAACAAAATAGACAAAAGCCCCTGCTTTTCTGATGCGTAGATTCTAGTAGGAGTGGAAAAATAATTAAAGAAGAAAAATTAGGAGAAACATAATATGTGAGATGGTGATAAGTGTTATGGAGGGAAAAGAAGGGGGACAATTTTAGAAGGCCATGCAAGTGTGAATAGGGTGGTTGGAGAGGGTCTTGCAGAAAAGGGGATAATGGAGTCCAAATCTGAAGGAGATTAGGGAATAAGAGACGCATGCAGATTTTTGGGGTGGGGTGGTCCAGCAGAGTTAAGAGCAGGTGTGAAGGCCCAGAGACGGGAGATGTAGTCAGAATGGAAGCTGCATGCGAGCTGGGCTTTTCTTTGATTCCTTGCTGTACCCACCTGCCTAGAACAGGGCCTGCACATAGTGGGGGCTCAGTAACAGTTTTTTGATTGAGTGTATCTTGTGAGTGTTCCTTCTAGGATTCTGCTGTGGTCTTTTGTGGGTCTACTTTTCAACTCATGGAAAGAACACACTAGAGAAGGACAGCCTTCCTGAGGTAACCTGTCATTAATTCATTAGCTAAAGGTGACGAAAGGATAGAGCGTAGGGCACCAAAGACTCTGGGCCTCAGGTTGTCACCTCCAGGCATAGGTGGTAGAGGATATTAGCCACCTGAAGCATCTGAGAACTTCTGGGGAGCATGGTGGCCGCTGTTCCCTAGCTTCACTTCTAGATGACTCTTGCCCAAAATCGTTTAAAAGGAATTGTTTTCTCAAAGCAACTCCAGCTGAGTAGAGTCAGTGAGTATAAGGTTTTATCCTCTACAATCCAAGGCTAGCCCTTATTTTCCAGGTCACTTCTTTTTTGTGGTTACCTGTTCCTGTCATTCTTCCTGCTGTTGGCTGTCTTCCTGTGATACAAGTCTGATCAGGTCACAGGTTAAAAATACCATTGCCTACTAAATGGGTTGAGACCCTTGAGCACTCAGGCCCTCTACAGTCTGGGCTCCACTCACTGCTGCCTCCTGGCTTCCCATTGTTCTTCTCACGTTTGGACCGGTGGACCACCTTCATTCACCTCCTGCCAGAGTGACTGCTGACTCAGCTACTGTTTATAAAATGAGGCTGACATCAGGTAGAACTGCTTTAGGTCTGATGTGAGACACAGATGAAATAATGCTGTGAAAGTCCTTTGAAAACAGAAGTGCTTGGTACACATAGGTTGTTATCCTAATGATGCTTACAGTACATGCCAACTCAGGTGCAAACTGGGGTTTTAGCAGAGGGAATAGAAAATAATTTAACAATGTAGATATTTGGCCAGAAGAATAAAGACTGAAATGTTAATACCTAATGATAACTACCATGCTAGCACATGATCAGAACGAAATATTTGGGGCTGTTTTGCATCCTCCTATCAATTGGTGCCAGTCCCTATATTAGTCTTTGACTCTTAGCAAGTATTTCCAACGGTTGTTTAAAGCCCACTAGTAATCCAAAGGTATTGATGGATCCGTTCAAAATCGCTTCTTTAAAAGATTGCTCTCTGTCCCCTAACCTCGGATAATAGGAAAATAATCATTGAAGGAAGCTGACGTAGGTATTGATTCAAAGAAAGCTTGGTACTTAAAAGGTGTCAAGTGTAATTCCATGGTTAGACTAAAAGAAAGACAAAAATGACTCAATGAATAAATCCAGAAGCCAAACCTAAATATTTTGGATTGTGTTCTTGTTTTTGTGTACTGGTAGCTCACAGCATACAGTAATGAGTTATTTATTTGGAGATAATGAGTTATTTATTTGGAGATTGCTATGCATTTTTTCCATTGAAATAATGTCAACATAGAAGTCAGGTTCCAAGCAAGACCAGAGGTCTACATTGGCCTATATGTAAGTAAGCATTTTCTTAACCACCGCTTCACAGTATTTCCGTGATAAATCTGTCTGAGGACCACCTTGGACTGATAAGGGCACTTCTCTCTTTCTGCCTGACCTTTTCATGCTGTATGGCCCTACCAGGTTCCAGCCACTGTCTAGGAATTTAACTAGCCTTCTCCTCCTCTAGGCCCAGCCTCCAATTATCTTATCTTTATCACCCCCTTTTCTTGCGCTGCCAAGAGTTTGAAATATTAAAAAGAAGCTTCTGTAAAAGTTTGAACACTGGGGAACAGGAGCACCACTCAGGTGCACTGAATGGGAAAGCCGTGTCATCAGGAAAGGGTGTTGATTAAGGGAGAAGGGAATCTTGGTAGAGAGGATGCTGGGAGAATCTCATGGGAGGATGGATCGTGGGTTGGGGTTCTGTAGGCTAGAATGATAGGTTCACCCTGCAATGTTGACATTCCAGGGACGAGTTGGAGCTTGATTAAGCCGTTCAGCTAGGCTTCGTGGAGTCATTCTGCCTTGGTGTTTTGAACAATGATATGTAGTTCAACTATTTTTTTTTTCAGATTATTTCCACTGCTTTTATGTTCAGATATATTTTTATTTAATTTATATATGTATATCTTTATATCTACCTCTATGTCTATATATTATATTTAACTTTTTATTCTCTATAGAATTGGAATTTCTTTTTATTTGTGCTTAACCGTTTCTTGCAAATAGTTAACCAGTCATTTCAACATCAGCCCTGCTTGTTAAGTAAGATTTTCTCTTCCCACTTGTTTACACCTTCCCTTCTTTTCTTATAAGAGGCAGTTTAAAGTTTTTCCTTTTTTTGCATTTCTTATAAGAATTGATTGGTGCTTTATTGATCTCCCTAGGTTCTGGAAAGGTGAAAATTGTGGAAGAAATTTGCTTTGTTGCACATATCTAAGAATAACCATTCACCTTCCCCTTTCCTTCTGTCATGTTATATTGTTGATCAAAATAGGGTAAATGTCATGGGACATTTTAATGGGTACCCTAGAAAATGAATTTCTACTGGTTATTTCCTGTCTCAGGACTTTCAACACAGTGTACAGTTCTAACCTTTCCAGCTGCCAGAATGCACTGAAAGATTAGCGGTGTTAGGCATTTTCAAAGAATCTGAATAAGGTTGGAGAACTTTTCCTACCAGGTATTTAGCCATACCTTAATCTATCTGCACACCTCACACATCCTGTGAGGAGGGTGGGGTCACATTCCTCTTGGAGAATCTGGTCAAAGCTATGGTCCCTTTCTTCTTCTTCTTCTTCAGAAAAAGTGTATGTAATGTTTACTACGGTTTCCAGAAGTTTACTAATTTCTGAACCTCACATTACTAATGAGCAAGGCAAGTTTCTTTAGGTGTGAAACAGTAATATCACAACTCTCACATTTTGAGTTCTCATCCACTTAAGTAGAAGGACATTTGCCTATTGCTTTTCTTAGGAAAGACTGTCATATGCATATGTAATTTTCCGAATGGCCTTAAGTTTTATTTAAAATGGGATGAATGGATGGATGAACAGGTTGTGGATGGATAGAAATCACAATTTTCTAAACCCTACTTCTGAATTGATATATGTTTTGATAAATCATAGTTTTAGGCCTGCTTGAAAACATTGATTGAATACTCCGTTTATCCAGCCTCAAATCAGAGTGTTGATCTCCTTTAGATTATAGCCTTTTGTTATATTACATCACAAGTAGTCCTCCTCTTTCCCCTCCTAGCTAGATATCTGTGAGCACCAATCCATTCTAGAACAAGAGCAGGAGACTGCAACTGTGAAAGCACAGACTTTGGGGTCAGACCCCCTGGGTTTGAGTGCATTCCTCTACTTGCTGGCTGAGTGACTTAGAGCAAGTCACTTAATTCTCCGAGTCCCAATTTCCTTATTAGGAACGTGGCGATGATAATAGTACCCACCTTAGAGATGTTCTGAGGATTAAATGAGTCAGTGTTTGTCAAGCATTTAGAACAGCATCTGGCACGTAGTAAGGGCTAAGTGCCTCACACATAAAGGTTCTCAACTGGGATATTCAGTCACAAGCAGTTTTCAGTCATGATTGTTACTAATAATGAAGTAAAAGTATCGGCGCTTTTTTATAAATTGGAGAAAGTTGAAGTTTATCACCAAAGTCAATGTTGATGTCCTTTTGACTTGTATTCCTTATATACTTTTTTATTACCAATTCCTCAGATATTTCAAAACAACATATCTAAAATTGTCTCTATGCCAGGCATTTTGCCGAGTGCTTTACGTGAGTCTTATTTAGCTCTCACAACAACGCTGTGAAAGTTGGCAATATTTGTACCCCATGACAGAAGAGGAAACTAACTGACCTAGGACAGTAGGTAACTCTCCCAGGTCACACAGCGAGTAAGTGGTGGTGCTGGGAGGCACACTCTGGCGTCTGACTCCAGATCCCTACCCAAAACTACTGCCTCATGCATGGGAACAAAAGGGAGTGAAAGTACTCAAAATGTTGGGGAATACATTGCTATTTTTGTCTTGTCTACTCAGTAATAATGGGGCACCCATAGAAGGATATGCCAACCACTGGTGGGAAAAGATCATGAAGGGTTAATGTAGAGTCATTAGCGGTAATTGCTTTTTGAGTATGAGAGAGAATGCTTTGTGATAGGGGGGTGTTCCTCTACATTTAAATATAATAATGCTAACTTGTATACCACCTCAACTACTTCACAGTTGTTGTAAGATGAAATGAGCTAATCTGTGAAAAGCATTCTGCACAGGGTCTGGCACACAGCAAGTGCTCAATAAGTGTTAACTGCAGTTACTGTTATTTTCACTATGGTTGGCCCTCCATCCTCAAAGGGGTTCAAAATCACCTAACTGGTGCCTGGTGCAACCAAACCCTGGCTCCAATCCAGCTTTCTCTAAGCCTGATGGCATGGTTCTGCAAGCCAGATCGTCTTCCCCACACTCCGCCCAGTCATGGAGAAGCCTCATAGGCCCCGTTAGCTGGATGTTGGTTTATCCCCTGAAATAAGTTCTGCAGTGGGTTTTCCCTGTGCAACTTTAGAACACCCAAGCCTTCCTGGAGGGATTCAGCCTCAATTGTGGTCCGAACTGTTTTACAAAAGCACTTAATTTGAAGCCCACCTAGCACAGTGCTTGGTGTAATTTCAAAACTTGTAAATTTTCTTCCCCACACCCTCCCCTTCTTTTCTGAGGTCTAGGTATTAGTAATGCGTTATTGAATGTAAAAACAGGCCTTTAAAAATCTGTTTACTGTCTTAGAGCATTCAATGTGACTACTTGAAGGTATCTGTTTTCTTGCATGCATATTCAAGTTAAATTCACAGTTTCTCTACTTTGAAAAACAGTTTTCTTGGAAATAAAATGTCTAGACAGACTTTGAAGCTGAAAAACTGCTGCTTTGCCTCAGGTATTTTTGCTTGAAAGCTGATACTTTCATGAATATTTGATTTTTAAAAACTTGGACAAGATGATTGCTATTTCAGTTGGTGTTCTCATCCTCACGGAAGTGATTCAATTTTATTGTTTAGAGAAAGTATAACTTGTATTCCGTCAGTGAAAATTAATTTTTATGACTTTAATCTCTACTTTTGTGTTATTTGTTTAAGTCTCTTATCAAATTCAATGGCAGAATTCCGAAGGTGTTTCTCTTCCTGCTTTTTTTTGTTGCCTTCAGTCTGCTAAAGGCCTTACACGTTCATTATTCCAGGAGCAAACGTGTTGCAGGAATTTTAGCAATGCCTGCTATCAATGGTTTTTCTAAGGATGGTCTAATGAGTTAAAAAGCCCAGATGCTTCAGGGTAATAGTGATAATGCTTTTAAAACTCTAGTTAAGAGGCCGTCTAATCTGTGAAGTTTACTCAGGACTTTATGATTGTTATATTATGTTTTTTGTATATAATCTGGTATGATTTTGATGTATAATTGTAGACATATAATTTGGGGGTTTCCTGATTCCTCAGCTACAAAGTTATGATGTCTATAAAGGAAATTTATGAATAAGAAGTTAAATGAGAATATTGTTTGGTTTGTAACTATTATCAAAATAATCACAATTATTTATTTGATGGATCTTATTGATAGAAACAATGTAGCTGACATATACAGAGGGCTTCCTATGCTCCAGACACTGGTCTAAGTCCTTGTTAATGCTATTTCATTTCATTTCACCTCCATTTTATGGTAAAGACAAACCTGGTTTTACTGAACTCAGCAGCTAGTAAATTGCAGGGCCAGGATCCAGATCTCAGGCTGTCTCCCTCCCAGCTCAGGTTCTGAACCACTCATTTCGACAGCTTCTGCACTAGCACATTCTGTCCTATAACCTGGGCTACTTTACATTGTACTTTCAGTGAGTTAACCCACCCTGTGACTCCACGAAGGAGGTAGATATGCATTACCTCCATTTCACAGATGGGGAAACTGATGCTTAAGAAGAATAAATGACTATTCCAAGGTTTCACAATTGGCATGTGACAGAGTTCTCTTGTTATTCTCTTGGAGATTTTATGTATATGATAAATGAAGGATTTTCTTGTATGCTAGTTTCTTGCTATTTTGGGACTGTGTGAAATTTTTTGAAATTTCATTAGAAATCTTTATCATAGATTTAAACTTGCCACTTGTATCATGTGGTCCTGCAATGACTCAGAATTCCTTACATGACTTTTTTCTCTCCCTTCAAACAAAATCTTAGCAGTACCACTGCAAAATACCAGTGTGAAATGTCATAAAACAGGTTATTCCAGCCAAGAATCTGAGCTGAGGACAGCTTTAAATTGTTCAGGCACATTAAAATCAAATCAGTGGTGGGAATGCTGGCAGCTATTCAGAAAAGATGTCCCTATAGCACATTAAGAAATCTTACTCCCTAGTGAGGATGTTGGAGAACCTGGCGTATTCATATCTGTGGCCACAGAAGAGAAAAAGGGATCGATTCCATCACAGTGTCAGTGCCAAGCAGCATACGGCTCTCCTTTGAATAACTGTACGCTTCTTAATTTTTCCAGCAATTTTTAAATTTATTTTGCTTATTATCGTAAACATCTCCTCAGTTTAGAAAACATAAAATTTATTGAGTAAAATTATAATTTAAAATACTCAAAGACCTGAACCATTCATAGCATCGTTACTTAAATGGATGCAGAAAATTTTATTGCAAGAAAGTGTGTACTGATCCCTGTGGCTGACTTGTCTTCTTTCATATTTTTCTTTTTGCCTGCACAAGAAGAATAGCTTCTGTAATGTGAATTTAAGCGATACATCAAGCTAATAAACGTGGTTGGCTTAGCAAGTGATAAGCATAACTAATTCAATTTAAATGTCTCTTATATAAAAATAATGAACCAATACATTAAAGATTAAAAATGTTAATGCAATTAGCAAAAATTAGTATTCAGTAAAGAAGCACGTTTCAGTTTTAAAATGGATGATACATCATTCAATGACCAGATGAGGACTAAATTCAGGTATACTTTATTCAACTGATGTACATGATAGAAATAAATAAAAATGAAATGCTGTATTTGGAGAAACTCTGATGAAACAGGATGTAATATATAGGCAAAAGGAAAGCCAAGTCTTTAAGGACTAGGGAGGAAACTAGGGCATGAGTGACTTCACAAGGACCCTTAGCACATAATATCCTGACTCCTTGGGGGAGGGGAGCGGTGTATGGTAGGTGTACGTGCACAGTGACCACAGAACCTGAGGGGAAACGGATTTGCCTGACTTCACCGTTAAATAAAATGAGCATTTTCGTTTTAGGGATGCTGACATCAAGGCAGTGGAATGTGCAGTAGTGTCAGTATTTGCTTTAATGGGGCTGTGACGTGTTGGCGCTCTCTCGTTTGCAGGAGAATGACAAGCCTTCGGATGAGGCAGCTTTGATCCTCCACAGAAAGGTGTTTGATTGCCGCTTCTCTAGCAGAGACACGGGGCTGCTCTGTTCCACAACCCAGGGAAAGGTGAGCTGAGAGGTTATTTTTGGTTGTCAAGTTCGTGTGCTTTGAAATCCTTACTTTCTGCAAATAATCCTGACGTAACATAATGTTTCAGTGCCTCTTTGCTGATTCATTCTCTTCAGCTGTAAACGAACTTGTCTCCCCATCTTAAGAAAGCACTTTCTCAACCTTCAGTCTCCCCTCCTTGTCGACAAACGCATAGCCAGAACATGTGCACATTTGAAGACAGTGCTCTCATCCATTCTTAGGCCTTCCATTTCCAACTTACAGAGCACCTTCTCTCCCCGCCCCATATTTCCTCCTCCCAACATGTTCGTGTACGATCTAGTTCAGGAATGGCAAGCCTAAGTCCTCCAGGGGCCAAGGCAAGTTTTAGAATAACTAAAATGGGTTGGGGTAGCAATAGGGAAGCCACAGGGAGCAGTGAGACTGTGGCCAGGGGCATAATTGACCCACAGCCACCAAGGCAGCTGTACGTGGCTCCTGTCAGATGTTTCCCGTGGGGAAAATGCAGGGCTAGATCTTCTGATGAAGCCATATTTGCATATGAGTCCACACTGCAGGCCAAAAAATCCTCAGGCAGACCACTGCTTGCTGGCTGCCCATTTTTTATTTCTCTTCGAGCTGGTCTTGCTGACAGTTCCATCAAGCCTTTCCTTGGAAGGAAACAAACCTCTAGTCTTTGGTCTCTGGCTTTGAGTAGGCCGTTACTCAGAGAAGACAGTTGGGTTGGTTCTACCACATAGACAGGTCTGCCCCACCAGGCAGCTCAGCTGACCCAGCTCTTCTCCAAAACCTCATAGACACTCTGTAGACCAGACTCACGTGATTCAGTTCCAGCCCTACAAATTAGCATATATGTGGGATCTGAAAAGAAGAGAAAAGAAAATATGGTAGGGGGCCTAAATCTACTTAGATAACTGTCTCCATTTTTTTTTTTTTTTTTTTTTACCCTCACCCTGCACAGAGTCGGTGCCAAGAAAGCACTGATATCTTTGTTATTTTTTTAATTGTATTTGCACTGTACCTTACTGTTGATGATCTGAGTGTGCTTGGTTGTGGGCATTTTATTCAGACACTAAAGCATTGAGTCTTAAGGTGGTTGTACAAGGCAGAGAGACATTAGGATAAGATGGCAGGGGTGAGGATAGTATTTTCCAAACAACTCCCCACCTTGCAAATGGGGCTCACTGACATGATGAGCCTTCCTTGTGGGGCCCCATGTCCTGTCTCTCAGCTCTTTCGGAACAGGAAAAAATGGTTGAGAACCACTGCTATTAGAGCCGAAGTGTCGACTGAAAGAGGATATGGATGTTTTTCAAGCTTGTTGGTCATTAGATGTCTTTTCTTTTATTGAAAAAATGGCCCCTGCACATAAGTTCTCAAGCAATACAGAAAAGGAAGGCAGAGCAAGTCACTCTTGCCTCGTTACCAGCTGCTTATGTCTCCATCCGGACGTAGTCTGTAAATTCACACATGCATAGGTACATTTAATCTCCCTCCCCACCCCATGTTTTTTCCTTAAAAGGGAGCTTCAAACATACTGTTTTACTCTTTCTCATACTATTTTTCACGGAATATATAGATGCATTACTAATCTTTCTTCAAAGTTGATCTAAATATGCAAATTTTTTATCATTTACTTTTTAGATATTGGTACAGAAACTTTTTAACAAGTTTACTGTTGCAAGTCTCGTACCTTCATCATTATCCTTGATGCACTCACGTCCAGATGCCCGAAATATAAGTGAGATCAACTTGAGTCCCATGGAAATCAGCACATTCCGAATCAGGTTGAGGTGAAGCAGGCTTTCACGGTTGGATTGGAAAGTGTTGGCTTTTGTACACTTCTTGGTTTGACGTGCAATAAAGAAGCACATTATTTTAGCTTCTGGCTACTGTGAGAACACGAATTCTGTGATTTTTTTTTTTTTTTTTACCCATATAGTAAGAAAAAAAAAAAGCCATGCTATAAACCTTTTTTTTCCCCTTAAGTTCCTTCCATGAACTACCACCATCGGTATGAATTGATGCAACAAACGAAGAAATGTCTAAAGACAACCTCTCAACAGATTGTATCTCAGGTTAAATTCTGACTAATTATATCTGTGTTGGGGGTTGTGAAGAGATTGTCATAAGTGTTCACGTTGCTGATCCTTTGTTAGTTTTACAAAAATATCGATTTTTACCAAAATGGAATAAAAAGCTGGTGGGTAATAGCTAATGGCCAAAATGGTTGCAATCGTTCATACACATTAGAGAAATTTTATGTATTGAAATATGTGGAAAAGTGCAATCCATCAACCTTATGATCTACATGGGTGATTTTACACCTTTTTCTAATGTACCACTTGACCCCTTCCTTCCCACCCTTTGTAAGTATTTCCAGAAATATGGGATTTTGGATCATTCAATAGTCGAATAAGAGGCATATTTTCATTACTTGACAATGTGGGATAGGTGCAATTTATTCCATTGTCACTAAACTAGAAGAAGCAATTCCATAGGTACCGTAACCTATTTTAGGTACCACAAGGTGTCTTTTTACACAGCTCATTTGAATACAGATGTTCTGAGAAGGGGTTTTCTATTTTAAAATTACCATATCAAAATAAATGTGCCTTATTTTTTTATAAGTCTTGTTAAATCTTTTGGTGTCCATATTAGTGTTTGGGGAAGGGGGTAAGCTGTGGGGGCGGCAGGGGCTGGGTTCTTTCTATGATGCATAAATTGTACAATTTTTGCCTGACAGTGCTGGCCACATTCGGATCTGTTTCATTAAATTTGTGGTGATGTTACTCTAAACATTTTGACTATTTGAATGTACTGAGATGTCAGAAAACAAAACAAGGAAGAAAAATATTGTTAATTAAAATATGCTGCTGCCAAGGAGACTGCAACTTGAAGCAAGGATTTTGTAACTTACAAAATCCACATACTGTTTCCATTTCACAGGAGTTAACCATAATAAAGAGAGAATGCTTTAAAATAGACTCTGTTTTGAAACCCACTTATATGTGGCTCCTCATTAAAGAATATGTTTGTTCAATTAATTCCAAACTTTTGTATGTGCTAAACTCAAAGTGAAGTTTTAAGCCTGTGTGCCGTTACAATACTTTTGATAAAACTTATTTGGGATCGTTTTTAACTTGACATAAATAAAAGCAACATTAGCATCATTTAGAACATTCAGTTTAGCATAGAACTCTTTGAGTATGAAAATTCTCTTTGTGTTAATAGACTTAGTATTATCTGACTTTAAACTTCCATTTACCTCCTGTCATTCCAACATCTTTATAGATAAATTAAAACCTAATTTCTGTTTGACCATGTAGTCTGCTTATCATCTGGATTTACAATCAAGATGCAGCTCCTAAGATTATTGTTAAGTTATGTTAAATTCATAAACTTCTTTCGCCTTTAATAATTAAGGAAACATACCAGAGTTAGTAAAGATATTACAATGGAGTAATTTCATGCAATAATCACGTACTGTAAGTTTCCTTCCTCTTTTGTGGGGGATAAACAATTTAAAAAAAAAAAGACTTCCTTTTTGTGGACACCTACGGATGTTAGGATTGCCTGAAGCAAGTCCCAGGAATAAGGTCAATATTTTCATTGCATCTTAAATATAAAACCTTCCTATGGGAGTTCACTGTGTCCTGTGGTTAAGTGGGTGTGCTTAATCGTTCTGGAAATTCTGATCAGTTGAAATAAAAACTCTTGATGCAATAACAGCGGTTTTGCCACTTCCAGTTGTTTGAGATGGATCTGTCCCATGTCAGTTGGGGTCTTATTCAGTGTGTGTTGCCACCAGCTGCTCAGAGGTAAAGCAGAAATTCTCTTTAACCAGCAAGTTTCTGCTTTTTGTTTTTAGAATAAATCGTCAGGGAAATGAAGAGAGGATGCTTTTGTTTTGGGTTATGGTCAAGAACTGATTAAATAATTTAGTGTCTCTGGCACACACTAAAACCATATACTTCAGTTGTGATCTTGGTGACATATCTGTTGGCTTAGGTTTTATTACATTTATTATCGCAGATGTTCGGTTGACCAAGTAGTTCATTACTTTCTCTTAATTTTTTTAAATTTTAATTTGGGCTTCTAACTGCAGCGTTTGAGAACTCAGCATCCTTGTTTTCTGCAAATACTGATTAAAATAAAATGCTGTAAAACGTGTTGTAAAACATTGTAATTACCTTCCCATGTCTTTGTTGTACTTGTGCAGAAATGTTTTCACATTCCTTTGTCTGGAGAAAAAATCTTTGCTTTCATTTTGATTATGTTGCTTACCTTGAAATCAATAGGTTTTGATATTTTCTCTTGGAAGATTTTATATCTTTTTGGGAATATGTAATATATGATCTCTAATAAAAGATAAATCTCATCTTGTGTTTGGTCCTCTAGAGTAGTTCTTAAATCCTATTTTGTACACAAGAGATATTAAAACAGTTTGAGGGGTGGGGTGGAGTAGTGAGGGCATTTGTGAATAAATTGCTCCTTCTTCAGCCCAATGTAGTTAGAAAGGATAGCTTTAGAGGGCAAGTGGTGAGTTTCGCATCTGGGGTCAGTCACCTTTGAGGTTGGAGTCTAGGAACCTTCCCAGCAACACAGTGCCCAGGGGGCCTTCTGAGCCGATTAGGAGGGACAGATTGTGGTCAGATTCCGTATGTTCCAGGACAAAGATGAGGAGAGTAAGCCAAGACATGAAGCTAAGAGGGTCCATGTGAGCTGATACTGAGATAAGGCAGGTTGGAAGAGTGGGGTCTGGAGGCACTGGAGGTCCACCAGCCCGCTGGCCTGGACCAGCACACAGCTTAGTGGCTTTAGCGGAGTTCCTTCAAAGTCGAGAGGTTGGGGAGAGTGAAGGATAAATATCCTGGAGGTACAGGTAGGTTAGCCAGGCAAATGATACATACTAGGAAGTTTGGACTTGTTATGGGTGACTTACTTAGGCAGTAAAGAGATTAATCAAGTTGTTTTTTATATGCGTGTATATATATATAGATATATATAGATAACAAGCTGTAAGAACCTAGAGAAATATTAATAAAAATTATCAGCAGATAATGAAAATTGTCCTTGGCTCCATAACATTTGATTATCAACATGTCAAAATAATTTGAATATTTAAACTGGTAAAGAAGAATTTAATTTACATGGGCATATGTTCACATGCCTCCTACAAACTTGTGATATGAAACCAACTAAAAGTGACTGTGACTGTGAATGGTTGAAGAGGTGGCTTGAAAGGGAGACGGGAAGAACTAGCAAGGACCACGCTGCTTCCATATGTCAAAGCAGAACACAGACGCCTGAAGAGGGGTGGTAATAGACAAGACTCCATCAACTTAAGCAAAAATAGGAAATTTATTGTCGCCAGTAACTAACATTCAAGGGTAGATAGAGAGCGCTCCAAATATAGCTGTAGCCAAGTAGGAGATGATGTCATCCAGGATCTGTCTGTATCCCTTGCTTTTGCTTTCCTCTGAGTTGTTCTCATTCCCAGGCAAGGACTGCACATTTGATGGCAAGATGACTACCAGTAGACCCAGACTAACATCCAGACAGTTTAGTAACCTCTGGAAAGAGAACACCTTTATCTAATTTTTCAGCAAATGTCCTGGGATTGATGTCACTGGCTGTCATCTGGCTCAGATCCTTATGGCTGTAGCTAGGGGTAGTTAGGTTCAGCTGAATCATATGGACAAAATGGATGAGAAATAGTCCTCTTCTCCCCCCTACCCCCATAGAAAATGAGATTCTACAACCAGAGAAAAGGGAAGTGGATTCTAGGATGCTTTGAGTACTAGACAGGCAAAATAGAGTAGACATACATTACAGCAATAAAACAAATGTGTAGATTTAAAGGAAGTAGAAAGCACATCTAGTTTCTAGAAGAGGTAGACTTGAAATACTTCTCAAAAGATTTGCTTTTAGCAGGTAGAGACAATATGTGTGTTCCCCCTAAAAAAGACCAGAATGAGCAAAGACATGGTAACAGTAAGCCTAGAGAACCAGAAATAGTTTCTTCTGCCTGGACCATCACTGTTCAATAAGACTTTCTGTAATAAGGGAAAGGTTATTTATACATGTGCTGTCCAAAATGGCAACCGCTAGCCACATGTGGCTCCTGAACATTTGAAATGTGGTTAATGCAACTAAGGAACTGAATGTCTTATTCTAGTTTGAATTTCAATAGCAACGTGTGGCTACTGTATCAGACAGCACTGGTCTGGAGCACACGGTATGTATAAGATACTAATAGGAAAGACGACTCAAAGTGTAAGTTAAAGTGACGTTGTGCTAGAACCCTGCTACTTGGTGTGGCCTTCAAACAAGAAACATTGGCATTACCTGGAAATGTGTTAGAAATGCAGCATCTCAGGCCCCACCCTAGACCTGCTGAATCGTAATCTACATTTTAACAAGATCGCCAGAGGATTCACAGGCACACTGAAGCACTGGCCTAGAATCTCTTCTCCTAGAAAATATTCCATAAAATCTGTCTACTTGTCCCACTGCCACACAATTCCAAGCCACCTTCTTGTACCTGGACTGCTGCCTTTGCTCCCTAACAGCTCTGCCTACTGCCAGTCCTGCCCCTTTTAAGTTTCTTTTTTTCACGCAGAAGCCAAAAAGTGAAATTCAAAAAGCTGCTTCCTTGAAAATTTTGTGTTTCCCATTACACTTGGAATAACGTACGAACTTTTGCAATGGCCTGAAAGCCCTATGTGGCCTGGTTGGTCCCTTCCACCTACCTCAGCCTTATGGGGTGTGTTTGATGTGTTGTTTAAGAAGTCCTTTCCTGACCCAGATCAGCCTTGCTTCTGCCACTCTCCCTCTTCCTCACTGTTGTCTAGGGTTTTTGTGGGTCTCTAACATGCAAAGATTATTCCGCTTCAGAGTTTGCACTGTTGCCTCTGCTTTGAAGCTTCTGCCCTCACATCCTCCCAGGGCAGCCTCCTTGTTATTCTGGTTTGGTTCAAGTGTCATCTTCTCAAGAATCTCCCTGGACAGCGAGTTTATACTCGCCCCCTTCACTGAGGATTTTATTGTCTTGCTGCTTTTCTTCTTAACAGAGCCAAACTTGAACTTACGTAGGTTTGCCTTCTCTACTAAAATGTAAGCTCTACTGAGGGCAAGACCCCCAGCCATTTGTTCAGCATTGTACCCTCACCCTCAGAACAGCAGGGCTTCAGAAAATATTTGTTCAATAAATTAATGAAAATGTTTATAACCAGTAAATGTGGAGAAATAAAAATTGAATTTTCAGAATAGAAAGCTGCAAAGTCCCTTACATCTTGTTTTTTGTCTTTTCGTGTTACTTTCCTGCTTATAAACCCTCAGGAAGGTCTCATTACCAGAAATTAAATTATAAATGTTTCAAACCATATTCTTAATCCCCCTAAAGGATATGACCTCCCTATGGAAAATACTGTAGTCACTTATCAAGCAGCCACTGCCCCTGTGCCACCATCTTTGCTATTAAAACCCTGATTTTACTCATATATCAGACAGTTATGAGCCTCAGAAGGTGAATTTTTATTCATCTAAATTAGTTATGATAATTTCCTTCTCCAGGCTGAATGATTGATTTAGGAATTGACACGTGACACAATTTTGACCAATGAACTATTCTGGGAAGTCAGTTGGAGGCTTCCAGAAGAGGCCTTCTCCCTCCTCAAAGGGGGAGAGCATCTTCCCCTCACGCCACAGTGTTCAAAGGCAGTATTGTGTAAGTGTTGATGCTGGAGGTGCTGCAGCCATTTTGCAACTCTGCAGAAATAAGCCTGAAGACAAAAGTCAACTGGAGAACGAAGTAAAAACAGCAGAGCCTGGGTCCCTGATGATGTTGAGCTACTGAATGAACCAACTTCAACCTTGTTAGATGAAATAGTAAGTCACTTTCCTGTTGACGCCATTTTGAGTTTGGTGTTAGGTTACAAAGAGCTGCAAGTATTTGAACTGATGTTCCTCACCGCTGCCTCAGCACTACGCTTTCTTGTTTAGATACTTGGCCAAATGGGTGCGTGTGTTCTTGCCCGACTAAACCTTGGTCATAAAGTCAGTTCCTCAGAACACAGCCTCTTACTTTGTTCCTACTGCTCCCACCACTGTGCACATTTTGCTCAAAATGTTTAATAAAGCTACACTTAATTATATTGTGTGGAGATTTTTTTCATATATAAGGTGAAAAGAAGGGTTTTAAAAAATGTAAAGTGAATCAAGGATGTGTGTACTAGCAAAATTCCTGAAGATTTCAGAGTTCCTTTGGCCTGTACACTCGGAGAGCATTTCAGTTCAAATGTGGAGAATGGGGGCTGGCTCCTGTGTAGCGAGATGAACCTTCCAAAGGTCAAGCAAAGTCTAGAGGCAGAGGGGAAGAAGACTGAGGGGCCGGGGGGGAACAATGAGTCAGTGGGGGCTAGCTTCTTTGAAGTGTGTCAGCTAAGTCTTTAAATATTTTAAGATTTTTCCAAATATATATCTTTGAAGAACTATAAGTGAATTACAGAATCTCCAAACAGGCGAAGGAGGGAAATTGGAACAGTGCTATTTAAAAGGGCGTATTTTAAGGGCTTTACATGGAGCCTAGTGTTCTTGGCTCCCATGCTCTATATAGCTTCCAATTTTTTTATTCACAAGCTTAGCCTTAGGGCTCATTTTCCAGTCCCAAATCTAAATGGCAATGCTAACAAGCAAGATGTGTCTCTAAGGTCTGGGTATGTGAAACTCTTTTACTAAACCAAGTGGAGCTCTCGTTGGTTGGCTTTCAAAGCATAATATAAAGCTGGCGCGAGGCCTTTGTTTTAGTCCGAAACTCCCCCCGAAGCAGAAGATCAGAGCACTTGTCTTTCTTGGGATGGATTTCCTCACCACATGCAAGATTGAAATCATTCAGGCTGGCTGTATGGAAGTGAGTTTTCAAGAAAAACATTTGACTCGTGATTATTTTGTCTTCCTAAATGGATTTTTTAGTGCAATTAATAAGATTACTTTGAAGTTAAAATGTGTTTCCTAGGTAAAATCTACAAATTCATCCTCGTTGAATTTATGGGGCTCCCTTTAATAGAACCTGAAGGTAATCACTTTTAGATTTTGCATTGAGCTTTCAATGAGCATTAGCCAAAGTTGTCATTTGGGCAGGGTACCTGTGCTAGGCTCTGGGAAAGTAGGATTTTATTAATCCCGCCCTCCTGTCAAGTAAAGGAGAGAAGTCTTGCACGGAGTGAAGGTGCCGTAAGATCAGAGAGCAAGAGGCCCATGTTAGCATCGGCGGCACAATTGATAGATACTCGGAGTACAGAGGATGGAGACTTTGCTTCCGTCTGGAGTGATGAGGAGGGACGGTGAGGAGGTGGGAGAATTTGAGCTGAGCCTGGAAGGAT